ACCACATATACTCACACCATAATTTTAGGAATTATCCAAATTTCTCAATTTTTTGTGTGTTATAGCCCATGGATCTGGCGCTTCGGATCACAAAAAAAAATTCTCAAAAAACTTTATGAGGACCACGTAATGAGTTGGGGAACCACTGTAACACTCCAGAAATTTTTTGAACTAAGACTCGAACCGTTCTTCATAGTGAGTGAAATTTTTGCAAGGAATTTAAAATTTCTTGATTGTTAAGGTCACTAGATGCATCACCTTAAGTTCCAAGAAGAACTAAAGAGAGTTCATTCAAGTCATTCCTAAGTTTTTCTTAAGATTTGAGTTAACTTCAAACGACCATAACTCCTAGTACATGATGATTTAGGTGATCTACAAGATAGAAAATTAAAGCCCTTCGAGTCCTCTTTCCAACGCCACCGAGTTTGCTAAATTCTGGGCTTTGAGTAAAAAGTTATGGCTGATTTACTAACGACACACAAACCTGGCAGCAGCTCCGTGAAGGCTCCGCGTTACGGAGCTAATACAGATCTCACTGCCAGGTGAAAAATTATTTCGACTCCCAGCTCGTTTTAATTATTTCTTTAAGGGTATTTTAGTTCTAAAAATCCTTAGGAGGTCATCTAAATTGCCCTAAACGTGTAGAAAACTAATTTTTCATAAATCAAACCCCTTATACACTCCAAAATTCTACGCTCAAGAAAATCAAGAAACGTTAAGGCTAGGGTTCATCTTTCAAGATTTTCCTTCAAGTGCTGCAAGAAGATGGTTCTTTCAGGTATGTAAGCTTCCATAGTGTTGAGTTTGTTCACCCATATGTCAATCATGTTAGTTTCAGCGTTAAGTTTGTTCTAGAAAGTTGAAAGTATGATGTTCTTGAAATTGGCTTTAGTTCTTGAGTTTAGATGAGATTATTGAGTCCCTTGATGAAATCATGTCGATTTTACAGTTGTTTATGAATAGGTTCTTGTGTTCATGTGTTGGGTATCTAAATCTAAAGAGGAATTGAGAAAAAGAACCAAGTTTAGGTGAATTGGGGTTAGAAAATGAAGAAGGAAAAAGTCGGGCGAATCTGGCACCTTGCTCCGCGTCGCGGACCTGCCTTCCCATTTCATAAAGTTTGTCTTCGCGTCGCAGAGAGGTCACAGACCTCTTTGCCTCAAAAGTTAATTCGCGACCAAATATTTAATTCATCTCCGCGTCGCGAACTTTCTTCCAGACAGTGATTTCTTGATCATTTTTCATGTTTAACTATCTAAAAACACTCCTAAACATCACGAGATCATTCCTATCACAAGTCACAACCTTGAATTCATAAATCACATTCAAGGTAGAGTTGAGAGTCAAGTCTTGAGAGTTCTCTCAAACATTTTTTTGAGAAAGTCCCTTTGAGTCCTTTGAGGAGTCTTCTACAACTTCTAATAACTTGTTTCAAGACTTGAGTAAGTGAGCATGAGAGTGAGGAGAATGTATTCATGAGTCTACACTTTCACCTAGATCCTTCATATCATGTACCATAGCTCTTGAATTCATAATTCACATTCAAGAGAGAGTTAAGAGTAGAGTTCAAGAAAGTCTTTGAGTTCAATTATGAATCCTTTGAGATCAACTGTTGATTTGAACTAAGTTTTGAGGAAGTAAGTAAGAGAATGAGAAGAGTCGTATACGCGAGTTCCATATTGATATTTTGACCCTTGAGTCAAGTCGTTCATGCCCATAACTTCCGCATGAACTCCATTAGTTTAGTATCTTTGAAAGGAGTAGTATCTTCAAGTTCTAAGTCTTAAGTATCGAGTTTCTAACCCTTTCGAGATTATAATCCTAATCATGGGACTATTACCTATTACCCATGAAGTCCATGAGTTGAGTTGTTCATGCCTATGATTCCGCATGAACCGTCTGAGTTGAGCATTCTTGAAATAAGTAGTGTCATTGAAGTTCTTGAGTACCAAGTTTTGAGTTCTATCTATGGTTATTGAAAAACCTTGCATTGAGTCGTTCA